CCATGTTTACCAGCTAGCCAGCTCTTATTGTCACTAGCCATGTTTACCGGCCAGCCAGCTCTTATTGTCACTAGCCATGTTTACAAGCCAGCTAGCCAGCTCTTATTGTCACTAGCCATGTTTACCAGCCAGCTAGCTCTTATTGTCACTAGCCATATTTACCAGCTAGCCAGCTCTTATTGTCACTAGCCATATTTACCAGCTAGCTCTTATTGTCACTAGCCATGTTTACTAGGCGGCCAGCTCTTATTGTCACTAGCCATGTTTGCCAGCTCTTATTGTCACTAGCCATGTTTACCAGCCAGCTCTTATTGTCACTAGCCATGCTTACCAGCCATCCAGCTCTTATTGTCACTAGCCATGTTTACCAGCCATCCAGCTCTTATTGTCACTAGCCATGTTTACCAACTAGCCAGCTCTTATTGTCACTAGCCATGTTTACCAGCTAGCCTGCTCTTATTGTCACTAGCCTTGTTTACCGGCCATCCAGCTCTTATTGTCACTAGCCATGTTTACCACCCAGCCAGCTCTTATTGTCACTAGCCATGTTTACCAGCCATCCAGCTCTTATTGTCACTAGCCATGTTTACCAACTAGCCAGCTCTTATTGTCACTAGCCATGTTTACCAGCTAGCCTGCTCTTATTGTCACTAGCCTTGTTTACCGGCCATCCAGCTCTTATTGCCACTAGCCTTGTTTACCAGCCAGCTCTTATTGTCACTAGCCATGTTTACCAGCTAGCTAGCTCTTATTGTCACTAGCCATGTTTACCAGCTAGCCAGCTCTTATTGTCACTAGCCTTGTTTACCGGCCATCCAGCTCTTATTGTCACTAGCCTTGTTTACCGGCCAGACAGCTCTTATTGTCACTAGCCATGTTTACCAGCTAGCCAGCTCTTATTGTCACTAGCCTTGTTTACCGGCTATCCAGCTCTTATTGTCACTAGCCATGTTTACCAGCTAGCCAGCTCTTATTGTCACTAGCCATGTTTACCGGCCAGCCAGCTCTTATTGTCACTAGCCATGTTTACTGGCCAGCTCTTATTGTCACTAGCCATGTTTACCAGCCAGCAAGCTCTTATTGTCATTAGCCATGTTTACCACCCAGCCAGCTCTTATTGTCACTAGCCATGTTTACCAGCCAGCTCTTATTGTCACTAGCCATGTTTACCAGCTAGCCTGCTCTTATTGTCACTAGCCTTGTTTACCGGCCATCCAGCTCTTATTGTCACTAGCCATGTTTACCGGCCATCCAGCTCTTATTGTCTCTAGCCTTGTTTACCAGCCAGCTCTTATTGTCACTAGCCATGTTTACCAGCTAGCTAGCAATTATTGTCACTAGCCATGTTTCCCAGCTAGCCAGCTCTTATTGTCACTAGCCTTGTTTACCGGCCATCCAGCTCTTATTGTCACTAGCCTTGTTTACAGGCCAGCCAGCTCTTATTGTCACTAGCCATGTTTACCAGCTAGCCAGCTCTTATTGTCACTAGCCTTGTTTACCGGCTATCCAGCTCTTATTGTCACTAGCCATGTTTACCAGCTAGCCAGCTCTTATTGTCACTAGCCATGTTTACCAGCCAGCTAGCTCTTATTGTCACTAGCCATGTTTACTGGCCAGCTCTTATTGTCACTAGCCATGTTTACCAGCCAGCTAGCTCTTATTGTCACTAGCTATGTTTACCAGCCAGCTCTTATTGTCACTAGTCATGTTTACCAGCCAGCTAGCTCTTATTGTCACTAGCCATGTTTACCACCCAGCCAGCTCTTATTGTCACTAGCCATGTTTACCACCCAGCCAGCTCTTATTGTCACTAGCCATGTTTACCAGCCAGCTCTTATTGTCACTAGCCATGTTTACCGGCCAGCCAGCTCTTATTGTCACTAGCCATGTTTACCAGCCAGCCAGCTCTTATTGTCACTAGCCATGTTTACCAGCAGCCAGCTCTTATTGTCACTAGCCATGTTTACCAGCCAGCTCTTATTGTCACTAGCCATGTTTACCAGCTAGCTCAGCTCTTATTGTCACTAGCCATGTTTACCTGCTAGCCAGCTCTTATTGTCACTAGCCATGTTTACCAGCCATTCAGCTCTTATTGTCACTAGCCATGTTTACTGGCCAGCTCTTATTGTCACTAGCCATGTTTACCAGCTAGCTACCTCTTATTGTCACTAGCCTTGTTTACCAGCTAGCTAGCTCTTATTGTCACTAGCCATGTTTACCAGCTAGCTAGCTCTTATTGTCACTAGCCATGTTTACCAGCCATCCAGCTCTTATTGTCACTAGCCATGTTTACTGGCCAGCTCTTATTGTCACTAGCCATGTTTACCAGCCATCCAGCTCTTATTGTCACTAGCCATGTTTACCAGCTAGCTAGCTCTTATTGTCACTAGCCTTGTTTACCAGCTAGCCAGCTCTTATTGTCACTAGCCATGTTTACCAGCTAGCTAGCTCTTATTGTCACTAGCCATGTTTACCAGCCAGCTCTTATTGTCACTAGCCATGTTTACCAGCTAGCCAGCTCTTATTGTCACTAGCCATGTTTACCAGCCAGCTCTTATTGTCACTAGCCATGTTTACCTGCTAGCCAGCTCTTATTGTCACAAGCCATGTTTACCAGCCAGCTCTTATTGTCACTAGCCATGTTTACTGGCCAGCTCTTATTGTCACTAGCCATGTTTACCAGCTAGCTCTTATTGTCACTAGCCATGTTTACCAGCCGGCTCTTATTGTCACTAGCCATGTTTACCGGCCGGCCAACTCTTATTGTCACTAGCCATGTTTACAGGCCAGCCAGCTCTTATTGTCACTAGCCATGTTTACCAGCTAGCCAGCTCTTATTGTCACTAGCCTTGTTTACCGGCTATCCAGCTCTTATTGTCACTAGCCATGTTTACCAGCCAGCTCTTATTGTCACTAGCTATGTTTACCAGCTAGCTAGCAATTATTGTCACTAGCCATGTTTACCAGCTAGCCAGCTCTTATTGTCACTAGCCTTGTTTACCGGCCATCCAGCTCTTATTGTCACTAGCCTTGTTTACAGGCCAGCCAGCTCTTATTGTCACTAGCCATGTTTACCAGCTAGCCAGCTCTTATTGTCACTAGCCTTGTTTACCGGCTATCCAGCTCTTATTGTCACTAGCCATGTTTACCAGCCGGCCAGCTCTTATTGTCACTAGCCTTGTTTACCAGCCAGCTAGCTCTTATTGTCACTAGCCATGTTTACTGGCCAGCTCTTATTGTCACTAGCCATGTTTACCAGCCAGCTAGCTCTTATTGTCACTAGCCATGTTTACTGGCCAGCTCTTATTGTCACTAGCCATGTTTACCAGCCAGCTAGCTCTTATTGTCACTAGCTATGTTTACCAGCCAGCTCTTATTGTCACTAGTCATGTTTACCAGCCAGCTCTTATTGTCACTAGCCATGTTTACCAGCCAGCTAGCTCTTATTGTCACTAGCCATGTTTACCACCCAGCCAGCTCTTATTGTCACTAGCCATGTTTACCAGCCGGCTCTTATTGTCACTAGCCATGTTTACCGGCCAGCCAGCTCTTATTGTCACTAGCCATGTTTACCAGCCGACTCTTATTGTCACTAGCCATGTTTACCGGCCAGCCAGCTCTTATTGTCACTAGCCATGTTTACCAGCCAGCTCTTATTGTCACTAGCCATGTTTACCAGCCAGCTAGCTCTTATTGTCACTAGCCATGTTTACCTGCTAGCCAGCTCTTATTGTCACTAGCCATGTTTACCAGCTAGCTAGCTCTTATTGTCACTAGCCATGTTTACCTGCTAGCCAGCTCTTATTGTCACTAGCCATGTTTACCAGCCATTCAGCTCTTATTGTCACTAGCCATGTTTACTGGCCAGCTCTTATTGTCACTAGCCATGTTTACCAGCTAGCTACCTCTTATTGTCACTAGCCTTGTTTACCAGCTAGCTAGCTCTTATTGTCACTAGCCATGTTTACCTGCTAGCCAGCTCTTATTGTCACTAGCCATGTTTACCAGCTAGCTAGCTCTTGTGTCACTAGCCATGTTTACTGGCCAGCTCTTGTGTCACTAGCCATGTTTACCAGCCAGCTCTTGTGTCACAAGCCATGTTTTACCAGCCAGCTCTTGTGTCACTAGCCATGTTTACTGGCCAGCTCTTGTGTCACTAGCCATGTTTACCAGCCAGCTCTTATTGTCACTAGCCATGTTTACCAGCCTACTCTTTGTCACTAGCCATGTTTACCAGCCAGCTCTTATTGTCACTAGCCATGTTTACCTGCTAGCCAGCTCTTATTGTCACAAGCCATGTTTACCAGCCAGCTCTTATTGTCACTAGCCATGTTTACCGGCCAGCCAGCTCTTGTCACTAGCCATGTTTACCAGCCAGCTCTTATTGTCACTAGCCATGTTTACCAGCCAGCTCTTATTGTCACTAGCCATGTTTACCAGCCGACTCTTATTGTCACTAGCCATGTTTACCAGCCAGCTCTTATTGTCACTAGCCATGTTTACCTGCTAGCCAGCTCTTATTGTCACAAGCCATGTTTACCAGCCAGCTCTTATTGTCACTAGCCATGTTTACCGGCCAGCCAGCTCTTGTCACTAGCCATGTTTACCAGCCAGCTCTTATTGTCACTAGCCATGTTTACCAGCCAGCTCTTATTGTCACTAGCCATGTTTACCAGCCGACTCTTATTGTCACTAGCCTTGTTTACCGGCCGGCCAGTCGGCTGCAGTGAGTGTGTTTAGCAAAGCACATACTCGGATGTTGTTGCTTTTTAATGCGCATGTATATAACAATAAAGTTCATCGTATTAAAAAAAAAATCAATATGTAATGACATTCTGCGACCCCGTTGCGCGCGCACGCTGCAACCAATCTTAGAAGGCGAAGGTATAGAGACAAAGGGGGCGGGGCCATCCCTTTTCCGTTTATCCAATCAGAGGAGCGCAGAACGTCGCGCCGGCTTAGCCCCGCCCGATAGAGAATCTGGCGGAGGCGGTTGAGAGGGCGTGGCTAAACGGTCATCGCAGTCAGGCTAGTGTGCGCCCCGACAAGGAGGCGGAGGGAGCCGGCGACGGAAGGGAATCTCCCGCCATTTTTCAATCCTTTCCCTTTATTTAGAGTGTGTGACGGAGGCGGGCGGGAAGCCGGCGGCGGGGGTTCGGACGGACGAGAAGGCGGTGTGTAGCTGCAGGATCTCGGGCTGAACGGGCCGGCCTCACAGGGACCGCTCTCCCCCGGACACACGCACCGCTCCCGGGATGGCGCCGCTGCTGGGCCGCAAGCCCTTCCCTCTGGTGAAAGCGCTGAGCGAGGCTCCCGGAGACGGGGAGGTGTTTATAGTGGAGCACTCCGGGGAGGCCTTCCGGAGCCAGGAGTATCCTTCCTGACAGGCCGTGATGGCGGGAGGGAGGACAATGGGGGATTAACCTGCTCGCTGCCGGGACCTGCCCAATAACGGGGTCCGACGGCTACAGTGACCGGCTGTCCGGGAACTACAACTCCCATCAGGCTTTGCCAGCATTTTCGCTCGGAGAGCATCGTGGGAGTTGTAGTTATATAACCGATGGGCAGCCAGGCACCTGGGATCCTAACTCATAGTGCTCAGCTATCACACTACAACTCCCATGGTGCTCAGCTATCACACTACAACTCCCATGGTGCTCAGGCTATCACACTACAACTCCCATGGTGCTCAGGCTATCACACTACAACTCCCATGGTGCTCAGGCTATCACACTACAACTCCCATGGTGCTCAGGCTATCACACTACAACTCCCATGGGGCTCAGGCTATCACACTACAACTCCCATGGGGCTCAGGCTATCACACTACAACTCCCATGGGGCTCAGGCTATCACACTACAACTCCCATGGGGCTCAGGCAAGCTGAATGACAGGCTGTGTAGAGCAGATGGTGTGCTGTAGGTTAGATATTACTACTTGTTTTACTGACTGGGGGCAGCTGGTAGAAGAGGTAAGTAGCAGTTCGTGCCCATGCTCTCCACTGATGGGGGTTTCTTTGTTCCTGTAGTGTGGATGCAGTGAGTTTACTTATAGGGTATGCTGGTTGGAGGAAGGACTGTATGTGGTTTGTCCTGCTGTCAGGACAGATAGTTCTCAGCCATAGAAGTGTCTGGTGTGGGATTGTGCCAGAATCTGATGGCAACTGCACGTTTCATTCTATTCTGCCTGTAAGGAAGTGAAACACTTGGTTATTTCATGCTTAGTGCAATATTACAGGCTAGGAGGGAAGGACGTCATACTGTTGGCTGCCGTCATAGTGATTCCACCTACTATTGGAAGAGGTGTATTGCAAATTAGTGAGGAGTTTTGTTTTTCTTAATTTAGTGGCGTAGGAATAAAGGACACCGTTGTGTTTCATTAGGTATTCAGTACTTATATGAAAACTGTTAATCAGATCTTTCACACTTGTGTATCATTCTGTGCTATAGTCTAATCCTCTTCTCCATGTACATTCCTTGTTGTTAATGCATTGGCTTGCAATAAGATTGTGTTCCTCTGTGCTCTTTTGAACTTCATGCTAACCTAATTTTTTTTTCTATTAAAGTTTCCTGTATATGCAGCTTGCACTGCTTTCTGTTAATTACGCAAAATAAGTATTGTTTTAACTCTTTAAAACTAGTTCAAGAAAATCTACTTGTTAAAATCCGCAAAGATTCCCTAGATGCATTTCTGTGCTATAGGGTACCATCGTGCATTACTCTATATCAAAGTATCATAGCTCTTCCTGTCTAGTAGATGGGTGGGTGGAGATTTGGAAGTTCATGTGGGGAATTCATTGGTTTCCTCTTTCCTGTGATGCTGTCTGAGGCCTTGTTACGCCTTTTTAGATTTGTTCTATTGTGTGGTAGAGTGACTGTATTCTATGAAGTTTGTCTTAATGTTCATCATTCTTTTTGTTGTTTTCTAAATGAAATATTGTGTATATAGGCAAACTTTTGTAAATCTAAGAAAGCATATTTTATCTGAAGTTTTATTTTCAAGTGTTTAGCAGTTATTGCTCCATTGTTTCTGGGGGCTTTGATTTCGGGGTGATATTTACCATTTAACAGGGGGTGTGAGAGGGCATCCTTAGACACTGTGATTTATGTTCAACTATTTAAACTATAGAGATTCATGTTTAAGTCACATGCTCCACATAAAATAATCAGTCATGTCTTAACTATTTCCTAAACTCTATGTAGTAGACAGCTTTTCAACATCGGTTGTATAACTATTGCTTGAAGTAGGAAATGCGACATTTGACACTCTTTTATAGAAGGGGAAAAACCTGGAAATATGTAGTATAATATTTATTTTTATGCAGTTTTAAGGCATGGCTAGTGAAGAATTAGAACATACAAGTAGTGTATGTATGTTAAATTGTTTTGCATTCCTTGGAAGCTTTGCATTCCTGCTTGCATATGTTGTAGTCTTAAAGGGAGACTATAACAATTCGTGTATAAGGTTTGTGTCTGTTCAGTAGACGCTAGGTTGTGAAATGGCCAGTAGGAGTACATCGTTTTAATTAGCAGGTGTTTTCTGAACAGTAAGAAAACTGCTACACTCAGTCCCTTCATTTTAATAAAGCTCTGAAATGAGTTTGAATTTGTGGTATCTGAGTTTGGGTTGTTTCTCACTATTGGGGCAAAGAGGTGATGCCATTCATGTAGTCCTATCAAATTGTCATTGTGTGGAAACCTTTGTTTATCTTTTGTTAAGTAGAAGTTTATGCTGCCCACGTGAAACCTAGTATTTATTTTGAAATGTCTTGTGGGTTCCCAATTTAGCACTGTTATAAAAGTGCCAGTTTCTCTCGAAATCGGTACTTTTATAAACTGAAAGAGGACCCTCTGTTAACTCGTAAACCCATAATGCAAGCTCAGCTTAGTTACTTTATATTTTGCTGTAATGGTTATGATGCAAGGAGGTCCCTGGCAATGTTTGCCTTCTTAACTGGATTCCCACCAGGTGCCGAGTTTCATCTATGGCCAGTGATGTGCATGTCGATCCTGGCTGAGAGCGCTAGCTTAGTGCTCTCAACCAATGAATGACATTCTGTGCTTTAAACTATGCACAGCATAGATGCCAAAATGCTTTTGTTCAGGGCTGGCTAATGACACTGTTAGGGTTAAACAATGCATGTGCAGTACTTCATAGTGAAAAGCTTGAACATACTACAGGCACCAAAATCAATGAAGTGATCATGATGCTTGGAGTAACCCTTTACATTTGGGAATAACTAAATGATATAAAGGGTTACTAGAGGCACCAAAACAATGTTAATGCTCCTGTCCCTATAGTGTTCATTTGAGCGAACATGTCTTCCTAACATATAGTGTTAAAACCACCATCTAGCTTTCCTGCCCCTTGCCCACCTAAATTTAGCAAAATCTAACCTTTATTGCAGTCTGCTCCTGATCTGCCTGCTTGACTGACATAATCAGAAGTGTTGAACTGAGCCAATCACAATACTTTCACACAGGAAAGCATTGGATTGGCTTAGACTGTCAAGGAGGCAGATTAGGGGCAGAACCAGCACAAGCCAAACACAACCCTGGTCAATCGGCATCTCCTCATAGAGATGAATTGAATCAATGTATCTGTATGAGGAAAGTTGTGTCTGCATGCAGAGAGGGTGGAGACACTGGCAGTACTGCAGTGTGCAGCACTGCCCCAGGAAGCACCTATAGCAGCCATCTGAGGAGTATCATTAGGCTGTAATGTAAACACTGCATTTTCTCTGACCGTTTTTACTGCAAAAAGCCTGAAGGGAATGATTACACTCACCAGAACAAATACTATAAGCTGTAGTTATTCTGGTGACTATAGTGTCCCTTTAATGAAGCTGATTTGGTGTAGTATTAGTAGTATTATTATTCGTCAGATTCCACAGCGCTTTACAATGGGTGGACGAACAGACATATAGTTGTAACCAGACTAGTTGGACACACAGGAGCAGAGGGGTTGAGGGCCCTGCACAATGCCCTTACATGCTAGAGGGAGTGGGGTAAAATGACACAAAAAGGTGAGGGTAGTATTAGACTAGTGACAGTTGCAGAAGAGGAATCAGTCAGGGGCTATTAACAGTTCAATTGATACGCTTTTATGAAGAACTGGGTTTTTAACTATATATTTTTTTGAAGGAGTGGAGTCTGGGTGAGCATCTAACGGAGGAGGGAAGCGGGTTCCACAGGAACTCACGTGCCTGCATCTCACTGCTCCGTTCTCTATTTAGGAGTTCTGTCACTTTGTTTTATGCAGTCCTAGTGACTCCTCCCTGCATGTAACATACACAGCCTTCCTAATCACTGTAAACAGATATCTAATGTTTAAACTTCCTTTGCTACACAATCTAGAGTTTATCACCTGCTCTGTTAATAGCCTGCATAATCCCCCTGTATGTGAACAGAGTTCATTTAACAGAGTATGCGATTAAAAATGTCAGATCTGAAAAAATTTCCCACCTGTGACGGTCCGCCTGGCACCCTGACCGCGTACCTCTGTCAATCGCTTCCTAGTAATCCTTGAATACCATAAACATGGACCACTGGAACACCGTAAACCGCCGCAGCTTGGTTGGGGTTTTGCTCTCCACCCACCCTGGAGCCAAGACCAGATCCAGCTTCCAGTGGATAGACCTCTCCTAGTCCAGAGAGCGAAGCAGACTGCTCTTACAAGAGCAATTGTGGTGATCCAAGGGAGTATAGTGATTATAGCAATCCCCAGAGTGAATATAGCTTTCCAATCCCCCCAAAATGAGCCTAGACTTCATGAATGGTAAAACGAATCTCCGTTTAATGGTAGCCACAACTGGCCTTTTATGACCGTCCCCAAGCAAGGGGCACTCTCCCCTGGACCTGAGAGTAAACCAGAGTAGAAACAAATACACAATCACCTTGGCTCTTAAGTCCAGGACACTGCCATACAAAATAGGTCAATACCTCCCCTATTCCTGGGAGATAATTGAGTCAAGCACTGTATTAAACTCAATTATCTCCAAACATAAACACACATTTCCCAAACACCCCAAAAATACCTTAAAACACACAATCCCCACAAAAGTTACATCCCATGATAGCCCCGATCTGTGTGAACAATATATCCAAAAATCACCCAGATCGGTTCAGGAATTTCCTAGAAATCATAGTTTTGGCCCACTGTACGCATGGTCCCATGCCCAAAACAGTTCCATATAATCGCGGCTAAGTGCCGCTGGGGACCGACCGGGAAACAGTTTTCATGCCGAAAATAGTTCCAGGGCATTCGCGGCTAAGTCGCCCTGAAGTCTATTCGCGGTTTTGGTCCATGCGAACGGCCGCTATTGAGCTAGTTCGGCTCTATGGTAAGTGCCGAACAACGGGGAATAAAATATGGGTCTTTACAGTCGCTGACCTGGAGAGGGCAAGCAAGCCCTTCCAAGAACATGTGACAAAGATCAGTTCGTCACACCAGTAACAGACAAGGGAAACTGTGACTAGGCAGTAAGACTGCAGGGACATGATCTGTACACCACAACTGTTTCATTAAAGAGACACTTGAGGCACTCACACAATTTCAGCTCAAGTGGTCTAGGTGCAAATTCCCAGGTCCCTTAAAGGGAAAATATAGTGCCAGGAAAACAAACTAGTTTTCCTGGCACTATAGCTTCCCCCTTTGTGAAGGTCCCCATGGTGTAGAAGAGGTAAATAACACCTATCACTTACCTGGGTCCAGTGCCGATTCAGTACAAATTATCTGCCGCCATTGCAACAATGGTATCTCTGCCCAATGTCTAAAGGTTTCAGGGAAAAATACGGAGACAAAGTCACTACTCAGACTCAGTATATCTTATTAGTTTGGATTTCAATGAAATTCCAACATTGTCCGTAAGAGTATTTTATCTTTATGAAATACTCACTTGACAGGCCAGGTTGACAGTGCTGCTCTAAAGCAGCCCCTATTTTTTGATTGTGTGTGTGTATATGTGTATGTATATCTATCATTCACAAACTTGTTTACATCTCTGATTTGAATCTTTAACATTTCATAGTGTGCGTGTGTCCCATGATATTGTTTAATGAAGCAAACTGGCCATGCAGGAAACTCTCTGAAAGCGTGTTTACACTCTGAAACTGAACATGTGCACAGGCTAGGACTCAAATGCCATAATGAAACCAGGGACAGGCCAGCATTGCTTTTGCTTTAGTGCAGCAACATTTTAAATGTAAGATACGAAACGTTCAAGGCTCAATAACTGCACAGGATTCTTACAATCTGTATTGTGGGTATGCATTGATGACTTTGATAGTTTTTCTTTGAGTTGTGTATGCGTGGTTGGTTATATTTATTGTAGAGTGGAACCTTGGAACTCAATCTGTTCCAGAAGGCTGCTGTTTACATTGCTGCATAAGAACACCTTCAGTGGCAGTCAGACAGCCACGAGAGGTGCTACCTAGTCCAATGCTCATAGAGATGCATTGCTTAAATGCATCTGAGGAGATGCTGATTGGTGCAGTGTGATGTTTTGCCGAGCATGGGCAGTAGCATCCTAATGCTTTCTTATTGAAAAGCATTGGATTGGCTAAGATCAAGCTTGTTCTCAGCTATAGAGGTGGAGCTAGACGCTCCAAGACGGACGTGGAAGAAAATGTGAGTAAAATTACCTTTTTACTGATATTGGAGGGGAACTAGGGATCTTTAATAGTTTAACACTAGTGTTCCTGACATCAATGTTTATTTAAAATAAAGTTTCGGTCATGCCAAGGCTCGTTTGCATTTTCCTGACCTATTGTACTACAGAGAGTATGAAGCACGTCTGGCACGATATGCAGAACGGATCTGGACATGCAAGAGTACGGGAAGCAATCAGCTGACTCACAAAGAAGCCTGGGACGAGGAACAGGAAGTGGCAGAGCTGTGAGTAGTAGTACTTTAAGATGGCTTCTAATTTTTATGTCTACAAGTATAATGAACCTGATTAGCTGAGTAAGGTACAATGCTACAGTACTGAATGTGAACAAAGTACAATGCTAAATATAAAAAGAATGTTGGAGGAAACAGATCAATCATGATTAACGTGACTGATTACAGATGTAAACTAGTGAGTCTGTCCCTGGCCTTTTTTCAGCCCATTTCTTGATCACTTTGTTTTGGGTGGTCTTAGGTGGATTTTTATTATACTGTTAAAATGAATATATATTTTATTCACAGTGGTTTCCCCACCGACCTAAAACAATTTTTTTTTTTATTTTTTTTGGGGGGGGGGGTGATCGGTCTTGTGCAACCTAGTTATAGCACTCTTATTTTACTGTGCCTCGGAGTGTATTTAAAGGTTGTAGGGTTTTTATTTTGAGGGATTTTGCAAACTGACCTCTGGCTCTCTTGCCATAAGGAGAGAGAGAGCATCCAGAGGTAGATTACCATCTAAATCTGTAGTTTCTAAACCAGTCCTCAAAGCATGCTTATCAGTCATACTGTTTTTTTTTTTAGGAAAAAAGAGAGGGGGAAAAAAAACCAAAACACCTGGGTAATTCCTTAATCCTGGACCGATAAGTGTCCGATGAGGTCTGGTTTTGAAACCATTGAGATGGTGGTGTAAAGATGGAAAAAGCATAATTCTACTTTGATTAGCCCTACCTTGTGGTCTGATCTATCTAAAGCTTGTAGAATTGTCATGTTTGAATAAATATTGATTTCCTTGACCCGATATTTGCTGCAAAGATAACAAAACAACCTTAGAATTACTATTGGGTATCTTGATTATTGTGCAGTTCGTCATGAACCCCATTAATACAAATGAATGTTACATAACTTTTAATTTATTTTATGTAGCTTGAAAGAAGAATTCCCTTTGTGGTATGAAAAGCAGGTGCTAGAGCTTGTTCACCATAACACAATCTCCTTGGACAAATTGGTTGACCAGGCTTGGATGGAGATAATGACAAAGTATTCTGTAGGGGAAGAGTGTGAATTTGAGGTATGCACTTGAGGTTGGCTAATTGCACTATTTTGTGGTAAAAAAACAAACCTTTTCTTGTATTACATCACTAACATTTACCTTTTTACAATAAGTTATAGATGTTGGATAGTATCAGATTTTATTATAGTTTTTATTAACTCTACAGTTTTGTCCACTTTAAATTAAAATATTCAGTGTTATTTACCCACTCTATTTTTTTGTTTGTTTTTTTTTTTTTTTCTAGTACAATTTAAACTTAGAACTGAGCCCCATGAGTTTATAATCTAGTATTTTAGCACCTCTGAAATGTCCTTAACAAGAATTGAGTTTGGAGTATGTTTGTATTGCATCAAGATTTCTCTTACCATGTACAAGGTAGTGCTTTCTGGTGCCTTGTAAGTACTACAAGGGTCCTTCTGCTCTGTCAATGCAGCTACGCAGTAGCAGAACATCTGCATATGTAATATGAGCCAGCTGCATTGCTCCTGTATACATCACAATAATCCTTGCACTAATCATCTCCAGCAGCCAGCTTAGCCATACCCTTTCCTTACCGTACTAATTCATCCCACCACACCCCCTGCCTTTTTGCTGCTGTGCTATGACCTCACTGCTATCACACTGCCTCTTCACTGCTTTACCCTTTGTTCCGAATGCCAGTCCCACCTCTTACATGCTGGGGGATGCCTCCCCCTTCCAACACGTAGAGCACAATGTGACTGCTGCCACCTTGTGGGGAATATGAGGATGTTGATGACAAGCACCCAACACAATACCATAATTTGAAAAATAAGTTCAATGACTAGGAACGGAAAGAATCTCTTGTAGGACCTTTCGGTGCATGGGTGGTGTGTATTGGTTTACATGATAAAACTGGCTTATCACGGTCTGTGGTAGTTTATTAATGGTATAAGTTAAAGTCTTATTTATATTAAATTTTGCATAGGTGGGACCAGAAAAGTACTTGAAAGTGAAAATTGTACAAATGCATCCTCTAGAGACTGATGAGGTGCTGGCTACAGAAAAAAAGGCTGATGCTGCTTGCGATTCTCCATCAAGTGATAAAGAAAACTCCAATCGCATAGCTCAGGACAACCAGTTGAAAGAAGAAAGTCGATTAGATACTCTGAGCAGCCTTAGAGAAAGTATGTACTATGGCTATTTACAAGTCTCCGTTTTGTTTCTTGAAAATGTTTCCTTATGCTGGGACATTCCTGTGACTTGACTGGATAGAATGGCAAAATTGCTTCTATTAAAGCCTTGCTGCAATTCATTCACTAAAGCTAGAATTGATAGGGGAATAAATTTATATATTTTTTTTTCTTTCAAAAAAATTGAACAAATTCTCCCATTCAGATATCTTTGTAGCTTCTGTATGCCTAATACATAAGCGTTTCTTTCGCTCTCCATGCTCTAGAAATCCCTGTTTAATAACCCACTCCTGTGACACTGTAAATCTCTATTTCCTTTTACCGTAAGGTAGGTATGTCTTGTGTTAACATGTATTCATAAACGTTTCTATTTTGCAGGTGACAGGGCTAGACGCTCTCCTCGTAAACTTCCTGTAAGCTTAAAAAAGGAGGAGAAAAAATGGGTTCCACCCAAGTTCCTGCCACACAAATATGATGTGAAGCTAGTCAGCGAAGACAAGGTAAAGTACAACCAGCTGTGTGATCGTCTCCTCTTTCTGTCCTCACACATTTACTGTTTCTGTGAGTGTTCTTTCTTTATAGTGTTGTCCTGCTTTTACAACGCCTTACTATTCAATATATTAAACCGCACATTTACTATTTACATGTTGAAAACATCTGTATAAATAAAAAGTTCATGATTGTCATTCCTTGCACCAATTATAGAAAACATAGTAGAATATGGCAAAAGATGTGTGGTGAGTGTGCTTGTAAACATGCTTATATAGCTATATATCATGTTTTTGTGTGTATGTATATTTAATACATTGCTAAACACAAATACACACACTGTTCAAGCCATAAGACTTGCTTTTTCACACAGAAATCTCACTTCAACAGTGCTCTCACTACTTCAAGGGATTCTGGGTAGGCAATTGCAAATGAGCTCAACAAAGAACAAATTTCTGCCTCATAATTACACTTTATACATGGATTCCTTGGAGTATGTGTCTGCTGTATAGAACAGCTTTGAAACACAACTCAGGAAGAGGAGCAAAGCCAGTGAACCACTCATGGATAGCTGTTTCGTTTGGTTACTGGCTTGGTGTGTGTGTATAGCATACCCTTGGAGAATTGGTAATATATGTAAAATTTTTAAAGAAAACATGAGTGAGCAGGCAAAACACATTTCTTTTATTTCTTATGGGATTCATATTCAACTGTAGGTTATAATTGAATGGCACAATCTTAAAACAAAACATGGCAACAAAGAAAAAAAAAATGAAATGACTCCTGTTCAAAAGTCTGCATACCCTTAGTTCTTAATATTGTGTATTGTCCCCTTCAGCATCATTGACCACGTGCAGTCTTTTGTAATGGTTGTCAATGAGGCCCCTAATTCTTGCGGGTGGTATAGCTGCCCAAAATGCATCCAGATCATGCCAGTCTTTGGTCATCTTGCATGAACCACATGTTTGAGATCTCCCTAGAGTGGCTTGATGATGTATAGGTCAAGAGACTGTGATGACCACTCCAGAACCTTCACCTTTTTATGCTGTAACCACTGGAGTCAACTTGGCCTTGTGCTAAGGGTCATTGTCATGCTGGAATGTCCAAGAGCGTCCCATGCGCAGTCTTAGTGCAAGGGAATGCTTATTTTTTGGGGTGGGGGGTGTGTGGGAGTATTTTCTGATAACTTGCAACATTCATCTTGCCATCAATTTTCATAAAATTCCCCCATGCCTTTAGAGTTCACTCACCCTAAAAAGTGAGACCTCACCATGCTTCAGTGCTATTGCTTGTTCACTATAGGCCTTGTTGATCCCTCTCCAACTACAGTACTAATGGTTGTGACCATAAAACTCTGTGTGCCAGTAGCAGTGAGGCGTGTCAAGGTGTTGTCGGGTATATTGTAACCAGGCTCTTTTTGTGGCATTGGTGCAGTAAAGGCTTCTTTCTGGCAACACAACCATGCAGCTCATTTTTGTTCAATTGTTGTATTGTGCATTTTCCAGGGCAGCCTGTATTTCCCCTAAGGTTACCTGTGTGTTTTTCTTTGTATCCCAAAGAATTCTTCTGGCAGTTGTGGCTAGAATTTTTCTTGGTCTACCTGACCTTTGCTTGGTATCAAGAGATCCCTGAATATTCTATCCACTTCCTAATAAGTGATTGAACAATACTGTCTAGCATTTTCATTGCTTTGGATATCTCTTTCCATCTTTATAAAGTTCCATTACTTTCTTTTCTGCTCCCCATGACTCTGTATCTAGCCTGCTCAGTGCATCCATGTGAGAGCTAACAAACTAATTGACTATTTATACACAGGCACTAATTGCAATTTAAAAAGCCACAGTGTGGGACATTTACCTTTTAATTTACATTTTAATCAGTGTGTGTCTGTAACAAGTCCAAACATTCACGAGTGTGTAAACTTTTGATCAGGGCCATTTGGTGGATTTCTGTTATGATTTAAAAAGAAGCCAAAAAACTGATATGATCACTCTCCTTCATATGATCACTAAGACACTGATCAATAAGACATTTATTGTTTGTTTGCATGATCAGTCATATGTTCAAAATCAATGCCACAGTTTCACAATTTCTGCCAGGATATGCAAACTTTTGAGCAAAATTGTATATCATGTTATCAGCATGTATGGTTGCAGTTTTGGGGGTCCTCTTGTAACCAAGACATCTGGCTTCAACTGGACATTCAGGAGTTAATTGGAGAGAGGGTACATTTAATCTATCTGGGAATTTTGACTTGAGTGCTTTAATAGATCAAAACCCATTTTACTATATTTTAATTTTCTGGCATTTAGGTAATCAGCCATGTTCCTGTAGACAGCTTGTATCGATCAGAGCGTCCACCCAATAAGGAGATCCTTCGTTATTTTATACGTCATAATTCGCTGCGAATTGGCACGGGAGAAAACGCACCTTGGGTGGTGGAGGATGAACTTGTGAAAAAGTATGCACTGCCAAGCAAGTTTAGCGACTTTTTACTAGATCCACAGAAAGTAAGTTGTGACTTTTTACAAATCTTATGTTAAAGTATTTTAGTTCTCAATTTGTGGTTTTGCTGTGGTGTTTTTGCGTTTTTTTTGTTTTTTTTCACATGATTTTTATCAATATTCCTCAGTGGTAAAGGAAAATATCATCTTAGTTGCTGAGCATGCTTTTAAAAAAAACAAACCAGGTATCCCCACCTTTCAAACCATATAAAGAGGGTGTAAGTATGGAAAGATGGCACATGCTGTTGGCACTGCTTCAGCTTTAAAATGTGTCTGTTTTTTATTATCTGATACTGATATTTCGTCTGTTTAATGTGAATGTTTTTAAGAGCAGGGTGCTTTCTATAGAGCATGCTTACAAAAAAATTTGAGATGGGTGGGATTTTTTTTACTTTAAATCTGGAATAAGGAAGATACAATTAAACAGACTGTATAAATGGACAACACTCTAACCTTCAGATTTGTTTTGACCTATTTTATTTTTTTATTTCCTCAAGTATATGACTTTGAATCCCTCTCCTGGAACAAAGAGAAAAAGCTTATGTTCTCCAGATCGAAAACAGGCCAAGAAAGCCAGAACAGATGGAGGTAAAAAGTCTCCACTCAGCCCCACAATGTGGTGTCAGGTTAACCTAAAGAAGACAGTACTACATGGGTCTCCGCTGAAATTGAAGAATCTGGGTGATCATGCCTCACAGGAGGAAATAGAACAACTGATGAAGATGATGAGTTCAAAAGCCAATTTCAATGGCAACAAGAAAGGTGGGAGTCTCACTGGAAAGAAACAAGATAAGAAAAAATCCAAAGGAGGGAAGTCACAGCTTCTGAATGGTCAGAAAATATCTGGTAAGGCTCGCTCTCCTAAAAAGAACTTGAAGAACCCAAAAATGAAGCAGATGACTTTACTGGAGATGACCAAAGGCTCCTCTAAAGTGTCACGGCCATCAAAAGGTAGCTCTAGCACTCCGAAATCCAACAATAAACCCCATAGGCAGCTACCTCCAGTTGCTCTCCACTTAATCTCTTATTACCGCGACAATAAAGATCGTGAAGATCGCAAGAGTGCACTGTCTGCTTTCATCTCTAAAGCAGCAAGAATGCTTTCTGCAGAGGACCGGAATAGACTACCCGAAGAACTGCAGGAGTTGGTGCAGAAAAGGTATGAACTTCTGGAAGAGCGGAAACGCTGGTCAATGATGACTGAAGAGGAGAAAGAAGAGCACATGAGGCAGAAAAGGGCAGCATTGAGAGCACGGATCAATGAGAAAGCTAAGGAGCGCAAAGCGAAAGAGAGAGAGGAGCGTCTGGAAAAACTGAAGAGGTATGAAGATCAGGAACTGACTGGAAAGAACTTGCCAACCTTCAAACTGGTAGATACCCCTGAAGGTCTTCCCAACACACTCTTTGGGGATGTAGCAATGGTGGTAGAGTTTTTAAGCTGTTACTCAGATCTTCTACTGCCAGATGGACAATATCCAGTGACCTCTGTTTCTCTAATGGAGGCTCTTGCAGCAGAAAAGGGAGGCTTTATGTACCTTAACAGAGTGCTCGTAGTGCTTCTTCAGACTCTTTTGCAGGATGAGATCGCTGAAGACTATGGGGAATTGAACATGAGGTTATCAGAAATTCCGCTTACTCTGCATTCTGCTTCAGAACTTGTACGCCTCTGCCTTCGTAAGTCAGATTCCCCTGCTGGAGAAAGTGAAGGGTCAAACAAGGAGGAAGAGGACAGCGAGGGCTCTGCAGTCTTTCAGGATGATGAAGTGGAAGACGAGTTTCTGGAAAAGTTGGAGACCTTTGAGTTTTTCGACCTTACCACAGAAGAAAAGCTTCATATTCTTGCTGCTCTGTGTCACCGTATACTAATGACATACTCTGTGCAGGACCATGTAGATGCAAAACAGCAGTGCTCTGCTGAGCTGTGGAAAGAGAGGCTTGCTATTTTGAAAGAGGAAAATGATAAAAAGCGAGCAGAAAAACTAAAACGAAAGGAACTTGGGGCTAAGGGTAAGGAAGAAAGTGTACCCCCCAAGATTGCAAAAAAGCCTGAAAAAGTTGTAAAGGCAGACCCAGTGGATCAGGAAGCAGAGGATATGATCAGTGCTGTGAAGAGCAGAAGACTACAGGCCATGCAGGCAAAGAAAGAGAAGGAGGAATCAGAAAAGCTGGCAAAAGGTGAAGTTGTATGTTTACTTTACAGTGGTTTACCAGTGTCTTTAGTCTTGCATTGAATTAAATTTCCCAGCAAAGCTGGTGGTGCATATTGCATTTTTATTGCTTTCTTTATATTGCATAACATAATTAAAAAATTTTTTATTGTATAAAATTATACGGTCCCAATATATACTTGTGAAAAAACCTTTTAGCAATGTGCAGCAACCCAGTGGAACTTTGTGACTACAAAAGTATAACAAAATACATACAGGTGCATAGTAAATTTTTTCCAACAGTAAATGCATGTTTAAAAAATAAATATGAAGTGTAATCCACTTAAAAGAAACGTGTTATTTGCTAAACAGGCTTAGTAATTCTTAAAGGACCACTATAGTGCCAGGAAAACAAACTTGTTTTCCTGGCTCTATAGTGTTAATAGGTTCTCTCCCTCACTCAGGGTCCCACTCCATCTGGGCTGAAGTGGTTAAAAACCCCTTCAGCCACTTGCCTTTCTCCAGCGCCGGGCTACCTTGGCCCTGGGGAACTCTCCTCCCTCTGTTGGTGCCGCATGCGCAGCAAGAGCCGCGTGCACATTCAAACCGCCCATAGAAAAGCATTTCTCAATGCTTTCCTAAGGACGTCCAGTGTCTTCTCACTGTGATTTTCAGTAAGAAGCGGCTGTCAGAGACAGCCACTAGAGGCTGGATTAACCCTCAGGCCAACATAGCAGTTTCTCTGAAACTGCTATGTTTACAGCTGCAGGGTAAGCACTAGAGGGACCTGGCACCCAGACCATTTCCATTAAGCAGCAAATGAGTTGTTTCAACCTAAAACAAAACAGATTATAAAGAGGGGACAAAATAGTGCAGATCAGTAAAATAAACCAATTTAGATTAAGGTGTGTGTGTGTGTATATGAATACAAATTACAAGAAAGGAGTAGATAAGTGCCACTCCACCCTGTCTGGCATAGGGGGGACCAATTCCTAGGAGCACGCTTCCTTGATTGCAGATGAAACCCAGCCAGTCACCTGAATATTTCTAATTGAACTTTATTCCAAAGATAATTAAAATTAAGAGCACATCTGCAGCGGTCTCAACTCTGTATTCATTTGCCTCCTCAGTCTGGATCTGGCATTTTTCGGGAATGCTACAGGTATCGCCTAAGGCTTTCAGGGCTTTTTCAAGTGTGTACTGAGAACAGCTGCGGAAGTGCTTGGACTTTCATACATATTTTGTTCACCCAATTTCGTTTGTTCCTTTTAACTTTAATTATTTTTGGAATAAAGTTCAATCAGAAGTAACAAAAAAGGGAGTCATCGAAGCTATGCTTCTAATAAAGATATACAGCAGCCACCAATGTAGGCAATCGGACAGCTAGAACTCTTTATTTTTGAGCAAGTAGTGCTTGGACTATAGGCTAGAACTTGGAGGTTCCTGATTGGTGTCTCTCAAATTTGTGTGGGGGAGGTCTGCCTACAACTGGGATTGGAAGAACAGTCGCAGAAGATTCTTCACAAGCAAACCTTTTCACATATTTCAATATAGGCTTCTGCGTCCCTTTCTGAATATTAAGCCGATGATATTTACTCTGATGCAGGTGCACTAACACTCTACATACACAAAGATTTTAATGTCTCCAATCTTTCCCATGCAGAGCGAATGGAAAGAGAGGCTGAGGAGGAGAGGCTACGAAAACAGAGAGCATCACAGGAGAAGGCATTTCACGAGGGAATTGCTAAGGCCAAACTTGTGTTAAGAAGATCTCCGATTGGTACTGACCGGAGCCACAATAGGTAAATAAAAGATGTAGATTTAAAAATAAAGGCTTATTTCACATGTCATTTTCTGGAGTGTAGTTCACTTTTAAGATGTAAAAACAGAATGCCCTACTGTGTGCAGTTATACATTCTTTAAATGAACTCTACTCTCAACTTATTTTCAATGACACAGTCATGAGGGCTTGAGTTTCTGGGTGCCATCTTACTTTAAAGGTAGACTCCAAGCACAGTAACTGCTGTAATGGTTATGGTGATTATTGTTCCCTTAAGTTTTAAAACTTTTTTTTTAAATGGTTGACCAGTTTAAGCGAAGACTATTCCCAGGGACTTCAGCCCACATAACTTAATGGGAAAGGGGCATAGATTGCATCATCCTTATAAAGGAGCTAAATTCATGTTTCATACATTCCCAGGAAGCTTAGCGTTTTAAAAACATCTGGATTTTGGTTTCAACAAGCTTTTCTGTCCTAATGTTTAATTTGCTTTCTTTACAGGTATTGGCTTTTTTCTGATGGTGTTCCTGGGCTTTATATTGAGAAGGGATGGGTTCATGACAGCATCAATTACAGTTTCAGTCTTCCTGAACTGGAGGATGAGGAGGATTATGAAGAGGAGGAGGAGGACCAGGATGCTGAAGGCAAGTTCACTTAAGAAAAGTTGTCATGCAAATGACACTAGGTTGTTGGTTTGAAGCGTAGGTATTATATGTATACTATCTTTGTCTAAATCTCTGACAAATTCATCTTATGTGTTTCATCTGCACTAGCCATGCATAAGAAAGTATGCTCATTTTTGGTGTACTGTTACACTTTTGTAGTGTGAGAAATAAAGAATAAAAAATAAAAAAATAGGAAAGTGCTCATGACACGCATGCAAAAGTCATGGAAAAATGGCAAACTGATTCTCTGCATGCAAAAAAGAGAGCAAGCATTGATTGTGTGTATGTACATATTCTTTGGAGCTTCCTATTGAAGTAATGCTGTGGCATTGTACAAGCAGGTGAAGAGTTCAACTTTTGCTAGAGCAAACCATGTGCTAGAGCAGTGGTTCCCAACCAAGTCCTCATACTCGAACAGTCCAGGATTTAGTGATTTCCCAGTTGTCTGTGTTTTTATAAAAAGGGGAGGTGGTGGGACTTTAGACTGAACAGGGTAATTCCTAAATCCTGGACTGGTAGGGGGTACTTGAGAACTGGGTTGGGGAACCACTGTGCTAGAAGGATTCATACTGGCCTCTAGAGCAGACCTCCTGCTGCATAAATTCCTGAGTTGGTGTTCGAACAGCTCACTCTGACCCTTCCCTTGTGGCGAGTGGCATCTCTGCAACCCTCCTTCTCTAGGGGAAATGGCAACTATGAATGAGTATTCATGGCTGGCACTTGTCCTAGGTTCTTGCAATGTCAGGAACGTTGCAAGACTTTTAAATTGCACAATTTGGTTTCTCACAATACCTAGGGATAGGACACGGTAGGTATGGAAAATGCGGGAAGCAGGTAAATATGTGGCGTGCATCAAAATTAAAACTGTACTTTGAATGAAACAGTTGTCTTGAAATTATGCGTGTTTTCAATCTAGAGCAGCTCTTGACCTGTAGTTGTGGTGATTGGTACTTCTACTGTCTCATGTAACAATTAAGAAATACATTGCTATTAACTGACGTTTGTTAAAATTTTTGACTTAAATGTTCCATAAGCTTGTACAAACAAAGGTTGAGTTCTAATTTTTTTCACTCTTTGGTTTTGTGCAGGTAATGCAGAGAGTGAGGATGCAGAAAGCAGTGTTGGTGGCCCTGAGGATTCTGTCCAGAAAGAGATACAGGTGGAGACCACTGTTCCCAAACAGGGGCAGAACCTATGGTGCGTACTCCATCTGACTTGAATGTTGCAATGTGCATTAAATGTCCTTTAAAATGGTCACTCAAAGCACCGTGGTCATAGTGCCTGGCGTTTGTATGTGCAGCATTTCCCTATGAAAAACTGCATTATGTGGCAAACTTCTGATCTGCATATACTGAGATGTATCCCTTTGCTGCTGGATGTGTAACTCCACCTCCAGCAGTATAATTAGTCAGCCCTATATGGGTTAAGTAATTTATTTCTGTGCATAATGGATGTCGTACGCATTCTGGCAATGGGCAACAAGTGGTGGCAAGCAGTGACACACAATGTATTTCTGACATGTAAAGTTATTAAAGGACCACTATAGTGGCAGGAAAACACTCGTTTTCCTGGCACTATAGTGCCCTGAGGGTGCCCCCACCCTCAGGGCCCCCCGGGCTCTAGGGGGTGGAAGGGGTTAAATTTACCTCTTCAGCGCCGGGTGGGGAACTCTCCTCCTCCTCCTCCTCCTCCATATGGCAGTCATCGGCTGAATAAGCATGTGCGGCAGGAGCTGCGCGCGCATTCAGCCAGTCTGTAGGAAAGCATTCTCAATGCTTTCCTATGGACACTGGCGTCTTCTCACTGTGAAAATCACAGTACGAAGCGCCTCTAGCGGCTGTCGATGAGACAGCCACTAGAGGCTGGATTAACCCTATTATAAACATAGCAGTTTCTCTGAAACTATGTTTATAGAAGAAAGGGTTAATCCTAGCTGGACCTGGCACCCAGACCACTTCATTAAGCTAAAGTGGTCTGGGTGCCTATAGTGGTCCTTTAACTAATGTTATTGTAAGGATGCAAGAGCACACATCATTTAAGAACATTAGAAGTTGAGATGTTCTTGGATGTCCCCCCTAAGTGCAGTACACCTAGATGGCCGCAAAACAAACAGATGCAACTTTCTCTTTTTTCTGTAAAAGGAATATTTTTCTCTTTAGTCAGTAACAGATGCTGGGGGGGGGGGGGCAACTTGTAGATAACTCACTGTGTCCTGTAAATGTGAATCGTGTCCTACTTAAACTGCTTGCTTTACCTGTATTTGGGGTGTGTGTGTGTGTGTTGTCCATTTCTGTAGAAAAGGAAATGCAATGCTAATCTGATTTTGAAAACACTTTTTGATGTCTTTCTAAATACTCTTGGATATAGTGTGGTGGCTCAAATAATCATAATGTTTGTCATGAACTTTCTTCTTGTTTGTTCAGGTTCGTTTGTGATACACAGAAGGAAATGGATGAACTGCTGGAAAGCCTACACCCCCAGGGTGTTCGAGAAAGCCAACTGAAGGATCGTCTGCAAAAGAGGTTAGAAACCTTTTTGTCACAAATTGTTACTCTTGGAACCTGCAAGTTGTTTCCTTACCTCATCACATAGTCCTGCATGCTCCCACATTCCATCTGTAGTACTTAATTTAACCTTGAACCTTGTTTTCAGATATCAGGACATTATGCATTCCATACACCTTGCCCGCAAGCAGAACCTTGGTTTGAAAACCTGTGATGGCCACTATGAGCTTCTTAAGTTTCTGCGAAACGATGTGATTGAGGTGGCAACAAGGTTACAGAAGGGAGGCCTAGGCTATCTGGATGACACAACAGAGTTTGAAGAAAAGGTAATAAATTGTGCTTTCTCTTCCACATGGCTTATCGAACTTTTCAATATATTTGTGATTTGTGCTGGTAGTTTCCAGACACTCTAGTGTGAGAAATGGATGGATTTTATTCGCAATGCTTCCAAAGTCGTCGTCCCAGTTGGCTAATGTGCAATTTTTGCATCTAATGCTAGATCGCCAATAGTGGCATGGCAAAACACGTGGATAAAATAGTATTTTAGGGGGTGGAGCTTACTAGCGGGACAAGACGGACGCCATATTTGTCTGCTCCCGACAATCACACAAACTAAAGCCAAATACTGCAAAAAGCAATGACTTACCACTGCCGACTAAATCACCATCCCGACCAAGGTGAATTTATGCATTTCCGGTACCCCACCGGACGACCCACGCCGAAATGAAAGGCTGTGGCCTACCTCCAGCCGCCACGCTTCTCCCTGGAGTCTCTCCTGGGCGGCTCCCTGGCACACAGTGGACTTGGGAACACCCGATACTCACCCCTCCATCTTCGCAGCGCACAGGGGCCATGGGTTGATTGTCCCAGAAGCCCAAAGGCAGGGACATAGGAGTCATGCTCCAAAAACCCTTGCAAGCTAAAACAACCCTGGCAGGGGACCACCCGGAAGCTGCCACATCACGGCAAGCACTGGAGGCTCATGAACCAGGGCCCACTCAGAAACCCGAGACTGCCCTATAGCCTCCCCAGGAGCACACAGGTAGGTCAGCCCCAGCAACAAAGGATGATGTCAGGGCGTTGCTGACAGACCTGCACAAAATTATGGCTCCAGACTGTGCCCTCATGCAGCAGGAGATCCAGACAGTCGCCACAGAGGGCACTGAACAAGAGGTACAAGCAATGGTTACCATGCTCAACGAATTGGTCCTCCAGCTTCAAAGTAACAGCACTCGCTGCTCATACAACTAACCGCTGGAGGATCGTAAGCGCCACAACCATGTGAAAATCCGGGGATGAATTGCCTCATTATACCCGGAGGCTATTGGCCACTATATTACCGCCAGGAATGGCCAAGAAGATGACCGTGGATGGGGCCTACAGAGTTGCTGAAAACCCCAAAAATACCAACTCCACGCCGCAAGATGTTACCTTGAAATGCAGACCAAACCCGCATCATGTCTGCCCTGCGGTCCAAAACTCCTGTACAATTCGAGAACTCACGTTTTATCAAGATCTCTCCAAAGCTACCCTGCAATGGCACCTTTTACAACTAAACTACGTACGGCGGGAATACCCTACCGATGGGGACCCTTAAGCTTCCTACAAGTGACCTGGAATGGGACAGTTCATATACTCCGATCCAAAGAAGAAATCCCTGCAATGTTGACCACCATGGGCCTAACACCACCTGCACCAGCCAGCGCAGTAATCTGGGAACCGGTTCTGAGCACAAACAGCATACCTTTTTAAAATTACATACAAGCAGGTCAGTTGGATAAAACCCAAACAGCATACCTTTAAAATTTACATACTAACAGGTCCTTGGGAGGAAACCCAGCTTACACACCCATACAGCTATAACAGTAAATCTGATCGGCGGAACGCAACCAACTCGCCCCCTTGGTTAGGGGCATTTCCTATCTGTGCATACGCCGTGTAACCTGCTTACTATCTAGGTCTCGATGCATCCCTTAACACTCACATGCTCTGCCTTATGCCCACAACACCCACAAGTGCCACGTGACCGAAATTAAGCCACCTGACCCACTCGGGCCATACAGGCCTCTCTACCTCCTGTCCTACTTATAACTGAAACCCACGCTTCATGCTCAGTATACCAACTTCACTTACTAACACGAACACATTACTGACATATTATTTTGTTGTCCGTTATGTCTATTATTGAAAATAGTGCTACGTCCTCATATGCCAAGTATATGTAACCATCTGTTTTAAAATAACTTCCTTGCTTATGCTCTCTTGGCCACAACAGCACCATTGTTACTACGTGCACTGCAAAAAGAATTTAAAAAAAAAAAGACCATTTGTCTCAGTATATTTTAAATGGATTTCTTGCCTACACTTTCAAAGTTAAAAAAAAACACTTTAAACCACTTACTCCTGAATTTTTTTGTTCCATTATAGCCTGTGCTTTCCGGTAAATGTTAACACCTGGTAACCCTCTTTATAGAAGTCATGCTCACCATGTGTCTTCTCTTAATAGGTCCGTTCCCTGGAGAGTCTGAAGGATTTTGGGGAGTGCATTATATCTCTTCAAGCAGCTGTTATCAAGAAGTTCCTCCAAGGGTTCATGGCACCAAAACAGAAGAAACGCAAGGCACAGTCAGAAGAATCCGCAGCAAAAACTGAGGAACAGGATGAGGAAAAGAGAATGGCTGAAGAAGCAAAGGTTATTGTCGTTTGCTTGCTAATATTGCTTGTGAATGTCCCTTTTTATTATGCCTTTCTCAGAGATGGTTTGCTCTTGCTAATATAGCTTACACTTGTATTTCTGTACGACCTTTTGGATAACTGCTTTTACTATTACCCTCTTCTAGGGTTTTCAAGAAAAATTCTGACCAAGTTGCTTAAAGGAACACTGTAGGGTTTGGAACACATGTATTCCTGACCCTATAGTGTTAAAAACACCATTTAGATGGCTTGCCCCATTTAACCACCTTAAAAGGAATTAAAATTTACCTTACTAGTGCTGCGCAGGCCTCGCTCCAATCCGCCTCCTTGCTGGCATCAGAACTTATGACTTATTTAAAAAAATTATATTTTAGACAATCCAATGCTTTACCATAGTAAAAGCATTAAATTGGTTGAAACTGGAAAGGAGGCGGGGGCAAAACACCAGCTTGGTCAATCTTCACCTCCATGAGAAAAATTCAGATTCCAGGCAGAGTGTGGAAACACTGTGCAGCACTTCCCCAGTGGCCACTGGAGGTATCCCTAGGGGACAATGTAATCATTGCCTTTTCTCTGAAAAGGCAGTGTTTGCATGAAAAGTCAACAAGCTGTTTTGGTGACTATATTCTCCTTACAAAACTGTCTCTAGCCATGTGAATATGGAGACCACTCACTTCCCCTCTTTGTTAAATGCTCATATATCCCTGATCTGGAATGAAGAAAACACAAACTACATGGCAATAATCTACAGTGAGACAGACTTCTCAGGTGCTGCAGGAGGCTTATGCTGTAGGTGTATTTTCCTTCCCTTAATGTTGTCTTTCAGTGAATTTATAGGTAGTTGTAGGATCTATAGATCATATTGTGCTGTAACCTATATACTGATACTGTTTTTACTGTTCCTTATTAGATGCAATTTACTAAAGCATATTTCTTTACTGGAGTTTGAGACTCAAAGTCCTGTTGTGGGTTCACACTAAAACTGTGCTAGCAATATTTATGGTTATATTTTGGGGGGGCCTGGGAAGATAAATATTGACTTGAGCTAAAGGTTTATAATGCTAAATGAAAGATGCATTTTTTTTCTTCTTTCTAGTATGCAGGATATATCCTTCGAATCTATAGTGAGTTTTCAGACATGTTTAAACTACTTGAAAACTTAGCCACTGTTCAGAGAGCAGTAATGCCACTCATCGTCCTTTTGCCTTGTCAGCTGTGAAAACTGCAGGATAAGCGCATATTCATGTTGGGTTATTAACACCCTGGCTTAGCTATTAGTTGGTTTGGAAGCATGACAGTGAGCATGGCTTAGCCTCTAGATACATATTTGGAATATACTGTTCAGTGCCCAGTTAAAACAAATGTGGATGGTCTCTAGCATTTTTTTGTGTGTTCTATGTCACAAAAAGGGTACACAATACTTCATGCCTCCCTTTATAGCCCTGCATGGATCAGGCTCTGAGTGCTGTCGTTTTGTTTGCATTGTTTACGTTCCAAACATTTTTCCACACAGAACATCAGGTTCCTTAGGAAGGTGGAAATAGCTTTGTTTATGTTTGTATCAAAGTTCCCCTTTTATGGCCATGTGAAGACCCACTATTACAGAGGGCATAAATATAGATTAATTTTGTGCAGTGTCCACATGGTGGCAGCATATGCTTCAATATATATATAATTTTTTTTTTATGGTAGACTTCAGAATGTACTGTATGTTCTTAAATTATCTGATTTTATAAATGTCTGATTTCCACCACAGAAATCTCAAATACATATTGCTCATTCTGCCCTCTCGGTTTAAGTTTATCCCTACACTTCAACTCTGCCCAGTCACAAATAAGAGTACCTGTGATGGGGAGAATAGCCTTTTATATATGTTGTACTTTATTATTGGTATTTATTAGTGATGCCGCGAACGGTTCGCTGCGAACTCTGGTCAGCTGACACATCCCTGCCAATCTCCGGCAGACCCTCCTACTTCCTGGACAGCATCCATGTTGAAGGCAGCTTCAACATGGATGCTGTCCAGGAGGTGAGAGGGTCTGGGAGGGAGGGTCTGCCGGAGATTGGCAGGGATGTCAGCTGACCAGAGTTCGCGGCGAACCACAGCAAGTTCGCGACATCACTACTATTTATATAGTGCCTACTAATTCCGCAGCGCTTAACAATATTATGAAAGGGGGAAATTTACAATAAATGAGACAATTACACAATGACACAGGAACAATAGGTAGATGAGGGCCCTGCTCAAAAGAGCTTACAGTCTAGAGGAGGTGGCGTACAAATACACCACAGGGCAGCAAGGGTGACAGCCACCAAACAAGGTGGAAAAGTAGCAGAACTGGAGGAGAGTGGAGTATGGCGAGAGACAGATATAGATAAGTTACTCTGGGAGTACACAAGCATTTCTGAACAGATGTGTTTTGAGGGACTTCTTAAACAATTGGAGACTAGGGGAGAGTCTGGAGGTAAGCAGGCTGTTCCCAAAAAAGGAGCCGCCCATGAGAAGTCCTGCAAGCCCGTGTTAGCAGTAAGGGTGCAAGCAGTGGAAAGTAGGTCACTGGCAGAGAGACAGAAGGGGCATATCTATGAATCAGGGAAGAAATGGAAGAGGGGCTAGTGGGTTGGTGCTTTATAGATAAGAGTTGGCATTTTTGGATTGACACCTATAGGATACAGGAAGCCAGTGTAGGGATAGACAGAGGGACAACGGGTGAGACGGGCGGCAGCATTCATTACCGGTTGTAGCGGGGAAGTTTGGATTTTGGGGAGACCAACTAGGAGTTTTACAGTAGTCCATGCAAGAGATTACCAGAGCATGAACAAGCTCCATGGCAGCATCTTGCATGAGAAAGGATACCCTCCTGCAAAAAGTTTTTTGCTTTTTTTTTTTTTATTGTGGTAGCAGTTCTTTGCAAGGGCTGGATATACAATGGCAAGCTGTAGGCTTCATTCTCCACAAAAGATGTACCAGTCTATTAACATTATGATCTAGTTTCCCAACCCCACCATTGGATAAGGCTTGACAGTCTGCCTGCAAAATGCTAGCGCATTGGAGCAGACAACGGTTGGCTTGCTTTGCATCTGTTGTTTTAGTATTGTGTCAATGTTCATTTGTCACATGACTGTAACAGACCTAATGTGACAGGATAATCCTGTGCCTGTATTTTGTGGTCTCTTCTCATTTAACCCTTCTTTAGATGGAATTCCTTCCTGACCACAAGTTCCCGAACATTGTACAAAATAGTATCTGAAACATTCTAACAATACAGTATACTACAAATTACTGATCGCAAAGCAAGTTGGTTAAACGACCTGTAGGTTTGTTAATCAGCAGTCTAGCTACTATTCCCGTGTGGTCATTGGTCATATAGTTGGTTTAGTGTTTGAACACCTAAAAGAAACTATCTTAGTGATATACAGGGAGTGCAGAATTATTAGGCAAGTTGTATTTTTGAGGATTAATTTTATTATTGAACAACAACCATGTTCTCAATGAACCCAAAAAACTTAATATCAAAGCTGAATATTTTTGGAAGTAGTTTTTAGTTTGTTTTTAGTTATAGCTATGTTAGGGGGATATCTGTGTGTGCAGGTGACTATTACTGTGCATAATTATTAGGCAACTTAACAAAAAACAAATATATACCCATTTCAATTATTTATTATTACCAGTGAAACCAATATAACATCTCAACATTCACAAATATACATTTCTGACATTCAAAAACAAAACAAAAACAAATCAGTGACCAATATAGCCACCTTTCTTTGCAAGGACACTCAAAAGCCTGCCATCCATGGATTCTGTCAGTGTTTTGATCTGTTCACCATCAACATTGCGTGCAGCAGCAACCACAGCCTCCCAGACACTGTTCAGAGAGGTGTACTGTTTTCCCTCCTTGTAAATCTCACATTTGATGATGGACCACAGGTTCTCAATGGGGTTCAGATCAGGTGAACAAGGAGGCCATGTCATTAGATTTTCTTCTTTTATACCCTTTCTTGCCAGCCACGCTGTGGAGTACTTGGACGCGTGTGATGGAGCATTGTCCTGCATGAAAATCATGTTTTTCTTGAAGGATGCAGACTTCTTCCTGTACCACTGCTTGAAGAAGGTGTCTTCCAGGAACTGGCAGTAGGACTGGGAGTTGAGCTTGACTCCATCCTCAACCCGAAAAGGCCCCACAAGCTCATCTTTGATGATACCAGCCCAAACCAGTACTCCACCTCCACCTTGCTGGCGTCTGAGTCGGACTGGAGCTCTCTGCCCTTTACCAATCCAGCCACGGGCCCATCCATCTGGCCCATCAAGACTCACTCTCATTTCATCAGTCCATAAAACCTTAGAAAAATCAGTCTTGAGATATTTCTTGGCCCAGTCTTGACGTTTCAGCTTGTGTGTCTTGTTCAGTGGTGGTCGTCTTTCAGCCTTTCTTACCTTGGCCATGTCTCTGAGTATTGCACACCTTGTGCTTTTGGGCACTCCAGTGATGTTGCAGCTCTGAAATATGGCCAAACTGGTGGCAAGTGGCATCGTGGCAGCTGCACGCTTGACTTTTCTCAGTTCATGGGCAGTTATTTTGCGCCTTGGTTTTTCCACACGCTTCTTGCGACCCTGTTGACTATTTTGAATGAAACGCTTGATTGTTCGATGATCACGCTTCAGAAGCTTTGCAATTTTAAGAGTGCTGCATCCCTCTGCAAGATATCTCACTATTTTTGACTTTTCTGAGCCTGTCAAGTCCTTCTTTTGACCCATTTTGCCAAAGGAAAGGAAGTTGCCTAATAATTATGCACACCTGATATAGGGTGTTGATGTCATTAGACCACACCCCATCTCATTACAGAGATGCACATCACCTAATATGCTTAATTGGTAGTAGGCTTTCGAGCCTATACAGCTTGGAGTAAGACAACATGCATAAAGAGGATGATGTGGTCAAAATACTCATTTGCCTAATAATTCTGCACTCCCTGTAGAATAGCTTGAAATAAAAAAAAAAATAAAAAAAATTCTTTCATATTTTACAGGTTGCCTCAGCTGTGGAAAAGTGGGCGTCTGCTATCCGTGAGGCTCAAACCTTTTCCCGCATGCATGTGTTGCTTGGGATGCTAGATGCCTGCATTAAATGGGACATGTCTTCTGAAAATGCTCGTTGTAAAGTCTGTCGCAAAAAAGGTAAATCGTAAGCCAGACTTATAAAATGTGCTTGAGTATGTACACTAAGTTTAGCAGATCACCTTGATTTTTATGAACAACCCTAACTAGTTCATGTTTATGTAAATTGCTGCCCTATTGTATACAGTATTAATGTGCTGCAGTAATGCAACAACTGAACAATTTATGTATTTTTGGTTCTAGTCTTAATATCTTCCACCGTGCATTCTACATATTGCTGGGCAACACTTTTCATACAGTCTTGTGTTATCTTGTAGATCTGAGAGTTCTAACTGGAAATTGTAAAATAAATTGTGTCTGGATAGTAACATTGCTCTGCGGAGTCTGACTTAAACTTTCAATCTTGTTTGCAGGTGAAGATGACAAGCTAATACTCTGCGATGAGTGTAACAAGGCATTCCATCTCTTCTGTCTGCGCCCAGTATTGCTTAATATACCAGAAGGAGAGTGGCTGTGTCCAGCATGCCAGCCAGCCACTTTTAGGCGCAGTGCCCGTGGCAGGTAAGGACCCAGCATTGGCAGCTCTTCATAGTCTTGGCGTGTATAAGAATTCATACCAGGTATTAGAAATTTGGTTGTGAATGCAGTCTTTATAAATAATGGTTCTTCTGTCATTTCAAACCAGGAATTATGCTGAAGATTCAACAAATGATGAGGACGACGAAGAGGGGGAAGAAGAATCTGAGGAGGAAGAGGAGGACTCGGAGGATGACGATGATGACAATGAAGCAATGGGATTGAGATGTAAGTAAAACTGTGGATACCTATTTAAGGTGTTTATTTTATTAAAATTTTTAAGTGGTGGGAAAACGAGCTGCTGTTTGCCTGCTAGTAGTGATTGGTTACTCCATGAAAGCAGGGCTCATTGTATAATGGTGAATCCATTAAAACAAATTCTGCTTCCACAACATGTCGATTTAAATTTTCCCTCTTATCTTTCAGTAGTTCATTGGTACACTTAAAATAAATTGCAACGGTCCAGTGAAATAAACATAGGTGTTAAAATGGCCTGTGTTAGCCTCTTAAGATCAGACCATGTATTTGTAATTTGAGGCCTGGAAGCTTGTTTGTGCTTTTGAGTTGTGCATTGCAGAATGTCAGCAGTTTTACCAAATGTCAATAAGCTTGTCCATACTATGCACAGCAGACCACTTCTCTTCTCTACTTTTATTATAAATCGTATTAGTACAGCGAAAAGCTTCTGTGCTGGCATTTTGGATAGACTTTTTTTTTTTTTTTTTATACTTTACTACATATAATTTAGAAGGCAGTGCACATTTTGTAAACTAAAGGGACTTTCCGGGCAGTAAAATAACTTTATTAGAATGCAGTTATGCCAGGAGGTCCCTGGCATCTGCTTACCGTTAAGGGTTTAACCCCAAAGTGTTAAATTCAGTTGGTTAGCTCTGATGTATTTTTCTACAGATTTTGTTAAAGGCTTCAATCAGAAAACCTTGGACAGGGAGGCCACTGATTGGCTGATACTCCTAGCTAAACAGTGGCTCCTTGTTCACCGCTTGAGATAAATACATATGTACATCACTGTCCAAATACAATGATAAAAATCACGATTTAGTAGATCTATCCTCAGTGCTAAACTACCAGAAAGTAAATGAATCTGTTGACTGACAGCCAGAGGGGTGGAAAGAGGTTTATTTAGAAAACTGCCAATTTCTACTGAAAAATGCGTTTTTTGATTTTTTTTAAATGGGGCACACTCTTCACACTTCAGAAAGGTAAAGTTCTTTTAGATGTCTGGAGTGTCCCTTTTACATGTAAAAGATTGCACCCATTCCTTATGCCAGTGCACATCCCAGTGGTTTGTCTGCTTGATGCTTCTGTGGGATGGCTGTCACTTAAACATTTGTAGGAGGCCATTTAACCCAGGCAGAGAATGTTTTACTAGTTCCTTTCTGTATTTGCATTAAGTACCTGCCAGAATCTTGTTTTTCATAACTAAACTTTAGGTCAAATGGTAAATTACATTTTATTTAAACATGAGCTTTCTGTATTGATTTGAGCAGTGCAATAAGATATGGCTGCTTTTCTTGTGAGCTGGCAGTGCACAGCAATTTTTCCTATAGCAGATATTTAAGCTGTTGCCTTAACCACAGAGCATTTCCAGATCACCTCAATAAATGCTGTTTTCTAATATGGTTATTGGTATTCTGTCTGCATGTAACTGCTATCTATGATGTGTCTTAACACTTCCATAGCTTAGTGGGATGATCACAACACCATCCTGGCACAGTAAAAAACAAAAAAAAGTGTTGGTGATGATGGCCATGCTATGCCTTTTCTGAAAAAATCCTCAAACTTGCATTACTGACTCTTTATATTTTTACTTATTTTTTTAAATTTTTTTTTTAAACCCTCATTTGCACGCAATAAGAACCCTCTCCCTGTACTAGAACTGTCCTCTGTAAATAAGCCAGAAGGTTAAAACGATAGACTGTCAGGACATATAATGCAATGCACCCATTTAAGTTTCACCAAGTAAAGCTCAGTGAAGTATTTTGCTTTAGAGTTAAAGGAATGTTTTTGTTTTTGTTTTTACTTTTTTTAAGCAGTAGAGATGGGGAGAGTGTACTTTAAATTACTGACTGTTTTAGTGTAATAGAGCTTTTTCTGCATCACCTGTAGTCAAACTATTAAATGCCTCCTTGGTGAATCAAGCATTAATAGATCCCTGGTATGTGCTAGAAAGAAAACAAATTATCTCTCTCTCGTTCGTTATCGCTGTGTCTCTAAATGAAAAAACGCAAATAACAAGGTCCATACTAGGGTCCAGTGCAATCCTGATAGAAAAAGGACAGGAAGAACTTTCCACTTTGAGCTTTAGAAGGCAGATTTGACCCTGACTTGACCACAAATGGCACAATGTATCCTGGTTAGATTTCAAGTTGGCTGTTTTGGAAAGGGTTAATTGTAGCCTTTGCCTTACTATGGAACTTCAAAGAATGGGACATTGTTGGCTCTTGCACACAGGAGCTGCCCGCACAGCATGCTGTCGGCAGTCGTTTCATTTACAAGAGGCACGTTTGTGTGCGAGTGTGGGACATAAAGATTAAAGTCTAGGGATCCAACAGGATCAGAATTTCTGTGCAAGCGACAGCCGCCTCTCTGGGGAATGCAGTTAAAGAAGAGGCAACAGGCGTTAAAGCTCAATGTTTAGCCCCTGTCGTAGTAACCGGACACATGTTTGCCCCCATCCCCAAGTCGGTTAAGTTCCCACTGATTAACTTGGCAACTGTGAGATCCCGCTGTGTGGCCTTCTTTTTGTTTGCTCTCATCTCTCACCGGCAGCAGCTGTATCGCAGTGTTTAAAGTTGGGAGGGGGTGGGGGGAATTGAGGTGGGAACAAATGTCCCTTTCTTCCTCCCCAGTTGTCTCTGGAGATCAGACCTAACACTTTGCATCTTTATAACTTGTGTGTGCCCTTGAGGCGTTCCATGAAGTAAGTGGAAGGGATTGTAGCATGACCCAGGGTGCCTAGTTTGTTGGTGTAATGAAGTGCTGTGTAAATTGAGGCTGACATGCTAGTGAAGAAAAATAGTAATTTAATACAATGTCTTAAGCCAATCCATTGCACTTTTCTATCTGTTTTAAATCTATATTTGGTACACCAGGCATTAATTATGTTTTATATCTCAAACTCCATATTTTTAAAACCTGCTGTAAATCTATTATATTGACTTCATAATGATTTTTGGGGTTGTTTTGCTTTTTGTCCCCTCTCCTTTTTAGTGAGATCACGTAAAACAAAAGGCAAAGCAAGCAAACTCCATCGTCAGCGTGGGCGTCCTTCCAAGCGCAGTCAGCAACCTTCTCGCTCATCTCGACAACGCACAACACCAGACAATGATGCAGATGTGGAAGAAATGGTAAGTCTGGGATATGTCATTATCCTAAGAGATTGAACATTCTGGTAAGAGAAATGATGGACAGTGTTTGCTGAAGCGTGGATTGTCAGAAATTGAAAGTGTAGGGATTTAAATGCCTGTATTGGATACAGGCTAGTAACTCATCCTGATGGTCTTTTGGTATTTGATATCAAAGCTCTGTTAGCCAGTGATCTGTTGACCCATGTCTGTGCAGGAGGGCACAGTCATTCTGAAATGGAATGATTTTCTATGCAGAATCTCCTCTCAAAAACCCAGTTCTCTCACCAACCTTGCATTCTTTACCTTGTCTCATCTAATTAACATTCCTTTTGTAAAGACTAAGTGAATATTGCACATTCAATTATCCTAGGAATACTTCCAGCAAGGTACTCCAAACAGAGTGGACCAATGTCCATGCAGAATATAGTAGTAAAGTGCTCTGTGCACACCTGGAGGTTTCTTTGAAGGGCAGTTTTTATTTGGAGTGCAGAACAAAATACGTTTCCATATGACAAAGGTTCAGGGGAGTCAAATTTATTTTACAAATATCCAGGTGTGCCCAGAATGCTTTTTCACTACCAATTAACATTCCAATTTTCTCCATCTTCTCACTAGTCAATTTACCTTATTGCCTCCCCCATTATGTATGCCCCTTTAATTTCTACTCTACCTTTGCATACATTTGGCTCTTCTGCACGTTCTATCTCCCTCCACACAATTGCTTGGTAACATGACGATTTCTAATAATGTGGTTGCTTAGTAATTCATGTGCTACTGAGATACTCTTCTAAAAGTGGTACTTCTAAATATAAAGTTCTAGATTAAAACCTGCTACTTAAATGCACATAAAATGTGCATGAAGACTGCTGCACACACAGCACGTCCTGGTACTCTTTGGAATCTAAAAGTAAGTGCAACTAGGGATTTCATAAAAACACGGGGCTTTGCTTGGATTTTCACTCTTGCAATGATTTTAGTTTTTGCTCAAACAAGACACTTTATATCAGTATTGCAATTGGCTATATGCAATTATTTAATATGCTGTTTTAAACTGTATAACTGTTTAACCCCTTAAGGACCAAACTTCTGGAATAACATGTCATGTCCTTAAGGGGTTAAAATACATTTATAAATGTATATTAGTGGTTTTTCTGCATAGATGACACTAACATATCTATATTGCTAGCTGATCATAATACAACTGTAACTTGATTTTATAAACCAACCTTTTATTCTTTCTTAGATACGTCATAGTAAGCCCCCCTCCAGGCGCCAGAACCAAGAGCTGCAGAAGTGTGAAGAAATGTTGTCCAAACTTATAAAGTACAGATTTAGCTGGCCTTTCAGGTGAGTTTGTTTACCATTACAGTATACCAAGCATAAGTGACATTGTCCCAAATGGTGTCTCTCAGGATGACACTTGGGCTACACTTCCTCAAGCAAATACTTTGGTTTGCAGTTCCTACAGAAAATTATAAATAAATAGAATAGATGTATTCACAGCAATATTTAATAGTATCAACAGACACATCAGCTCAAAGTTTTTGCATCAATCAAACAGATACACTTCGCAGTGGCATATGACATCGCAATGCCGTCAAAACTACAAATCAAATGCCCTTGTAATTTTTATTAAGCGTGTGTAAAATATAAGCCAAACACATAAAAATGGCTAGCAGGCTGTTAACTGTAAAATATACCCCTAAAATAAAAAGGTCTGCTTTTATTTTTTTAATTGGTAATTTGTTGAAAAATCATGATATTGGCCTGGTGATTCATACTTCAATTGTTAAATTAGCAGTGACCCTTCCATTCCATCTTGGAAGTACGTCAGAGTGCTTTCATTCTAGATTTGTTATCCAGCAAACGGTGACAAATATGAAGTGCATATTCCAACCAGTGGTTCCTGTGAGCTGTTTGGATCATTCCACGGAAACTCTGGAGAGTGTGGCACTCCATATCATGTATGGTTTGTGTTTATCAATCCGCAAAATAAATCTGTGAAAACCCATTTTTTGTTCTTTATAGTTTATTTTTATTTGCTATTCAGGGAGCCTGTGAGTTCTGAAGATAACGAAGAATATCTAAAGGTTGTCACAAGCCCTATGGACTTCCAGACCATGCAGAGCAAGTGTTCATGTGGAAACTACCAGACAGTGCAGGAATTTCTCAATGACCTTAAACTGGTATTTGGGAATGCAGAGATGTATAATGAACCAGGAAGCCCTCAGATGTCTTGTTTGGAGAAAACTGAGCAATGTGCTAAAGACCTCCTCAGTAAGCACCTCCCAGGACATCCTTACCAGAGGAGGCATCGTAAACACCAGGCTCTCCAGCCAGAGCCTACCAACGCTGGCAGGGGGCGCAAGCGGAAGAAATGAATACTTTGACTGTAAAGGGGACGGGGTAGGGGTCGTGGTTTGAGGGAGAGGAAAACTGGAGGTTGTGGGGACAAAAGCTGTAGGTCATTCCCCCAGATCTGAAGACCAAAACCTGCTTTTGTTGAAAAGGAAAGAATTTAAGGATGGCTCATTAAAAATTTGGATGTGTGGTTGATTCTTCTCTGGCGTCTGCTGAAGCCAAGTTAAGGATAATTACAATTCAAAGTTGATTGAAACCAAAAACATGGTTCCCATTACACAACCTTGTAAAATTTGCTGCTATCCAATACTATGTTAACCCTTTTTAGTTATTAATGTCTTCAGACTCACTGCAGATTTATTTTATTTTTTTTGTTTATGTAATTTTTAGGTTCTTCAGTGCTTTGATTCAAACTCTGTTTTGTACTTGTAGAGTCAGAGCTGCACATAGAACAGTCATAAGCACTTATTGATGTATTCAGGCAGTGGAAAAAAGATGGAGCTTTCAGTTCCTCACCACCACTCTGATCTCTAAAATAGCAGAGTGTTCCTGGCCCTGTTTACATTGTTTCGTAAGATTTCCACACCGACCACTGTTTAAACCTAGAATGTAGTGGTGTCTTGTAACTTCTCAAATGTACTCTGCTCTCGTTAATGTAGATTAATACCATATTTTTGTAAACATGTCCCAGACTCTCAATTGGAGGCAGCATTGAGACTGGGTTAGATCTTGTACCCCATGTCACCAGCACCCAAGTATTGTATTTTTTCTGCCGCCCTATCTCTGTAAAGGTTACCAGCAAACCCTTCTAACACAGGCTGGTTTTGGAGAGGAATGAAAACAGACCTTGCTGTCCCCTCTGCCTCCCCCTCCCTTAAAAATAAAAAATAAAAATGGGTTCTTTTTAATTCTTCCTCTATGCCGACACAGGTATTCGACCGTCAAACAGGAAAGTCACTTTTGTGTAATTTTTTTTTTTTTTTTTGTACTGACCTATTTCCCCCCTATTTTCTAGATATTCAATGTTTGCTTGTGATCTTGTATAAAGGGAGACTTTGTCTGGATTTGGCACATGTACAGTACAGTTTATATGAAAACAAGTGTTTGCCTTTATTAATATTAAAACAGAAGGAACCACGTGTAACTGTTGTAAAGAGTTTGCTTTTAAGCCATGTATCTATTTCTTCCTTTTTAAACTCTACAGTTTTCTAGAACATGTCCTGTCCACAAATATAAACCACCGTTGTGATCTTATAACAGTTTTTAAGAATTTGTTTTAAAGTAGCAAAGAAGGCTAGAGTTGTGTCCATTTTAAAATTGGATGCACAGATCATGCACTACCATATGTGTAGATAAGATACTCACACTTTGAATATCCATGAAAGAAGATGCAGACAAATGTAAGCCAATCCTCGCAATCACATTAATTTTAGAGATTTATCAATATTCTAGTCAAGAAGCACACTAATGTTTATGTTCATATCTCAAAAGTAATAACAAATTTAAAGTATACAGAAATAAAAAAGCATGGAATGATTTCCTTTTCTGGACAGTAGTGTTAATTTTGTCATCTAACAATGTTGGTAGACTAAAAATTGAGATTTAGTAAACTAAATTAACTCAAATGACTAAAATATGACACAAACTACTTCTTAGTCAAGACTATGAATACAACTAAATTTGCTGCCAAATGAACACTGAGGGGATAAGACACAGGGGAGGGAGGAGACAAAATTAAACACATGGAGGGCAGGGGGGTGGGTTTCTGCGGGATTAAGACACGTCCAGGGGGCTTTAAGAACGAGACGCATGGAGGGACTTGTGGGGCAAATGAGACTCCCAAATGGGGCTATGAAGAGTAAGACTCACAAAAGGCCACAGAGGGGAAGGGGTAAAAGACAGAGGCTTTAACTAAACCCATTGGATTTTAGTGTCGACTAAAACCTACTGGAGATTTAGTTAATTAAAACAATTCAGATAACTAAAATACAACTTAAAACTAAACTGGCTTTTTAGTTAAGACTGACTAAAACTAAATTGAAATTCGCTGCCAAAAATAACGGAGCAGTGCTGACTTGCAGTAATAAAGAATTTACATTTAGTTCAGATGCAACAACCTCCAAAAGATCTTTATATGATTTAAAAATAAAAAAAAATGTAATTTGTAAATTTATCCATGAATTCACTATAGAAGGGGTCGATTCAAGCTTGCAGTGCCCCATTTAAATCCCTGGTTTAGGATTGGATCTACCTCCAGCTGCTTTGTCCTTTTCAAAATTTTTTTTTTTTTTTTTTTTGTGTGTGTGTTGTGTCCTCATGTGCTGAGGGCCAACCCAGAGTTCTGTTGGCATGGGTTTAGATTAGGAAAGCAAAGTGTTTTTGAATTTACTGTTCAGGTAAATTAGAAATAAGAAGCCCTCTACATTCTTCATTGCGGTTTCTCACTGGGTTTAGTGAAGGGGACCTATTGTCCATAAAGCAGTGAGTTGTGGATTTGCTTGCCACTAATTTTATGTAATGGTACTCCACAAACTACAATTGGCAAATGAGAAAGCAGTTACACGGAGACCACATGAGGTGGAAACTGCCTGTAGACATGTTACTACTAAATGCAAGCTCACCTTTTTAATGTCTCTTTTGAAACTGTCATGTCCCCATTCTCATACCTTATTAATTTCTAAACTGAATCCAATGGGTCGTTGATTTAGAAGCATGAACAGTGTTATTAAAACTGCATGAATACTGTATTCAGAAAATATTGAGACCCCACATTGCAGCCTCATACTGCAATTGTTTTATATTTTTTTTAGCCATCAATCTACACTGCAAGTTTAAAAATATACCATTAAAATAAGTATTCATACCTTTTTGCCATGATTATAATACTTCAAATTTAGCTCAGATGTATGATTAGGGTCCACCTGGGGCAAATTCAAATGATTTGGAAAGGAACACAGCTATTTATATATTGGCTTACAGCTGATATACAACCTTAACCAAGCAATGAGGTCAAATGAACTACCTGCAGAGATGATTGTGTCAAAGCTCAGATCTGGAGAAGGATAAAAGAATCTGAAATATTTTGACCACATTGAAGGTTCCCAAAAGCAGTGGCTTCTAGAATTCTTAAATTGGAGACACTTGTGAAAACAGGGCACTTCCTAGAGTTGGCCACACTGCCAATATAAGCAATTGGGAGAGAATGGTGTTAAGAGATGACCAAGAACCGATGGTCACTCTGATTTGAGCTGCAGAGTTTGTATATGGAGGATTTCCAGAAGGACAACCATCACTGCAACACTCCGCTGATCTCGCCTATTGGCAGACTGGAAAGACTGATTTATCCTCATTGAAAGACACATGGGTGAAAACACTGTGTGTGTATATGTGTGTATGTATGTATGTATGTATGTGTATATATGTATGTGTGTGTGTATGTATATATATATATGTATATGTATATATGTATATATATATATGTATATATATATGTGTATATATATGTGTGTATATATATATATGTGTATATATATATATATATATATATACACTCAACTAACACTTTTTGGGTATTTGAGAAGATACTGCTTTGAGAAACCTGGCTTTACCTTTAATTTTTGTAGTGTTACTGCAGTCACCATGAAAAATGGTGAGGGAAAAAAAAGATTCTCTTGTCTGATGCAACAAAATTGAACTGCTCAATTTGATATGTCGTGTCTGGAGGAAACCAGGCACCACTCACCTGTGCGGTACCATCCTAAGGAAGTCTTGCACCTTGTCAGACTTTCTGCATTATAAATTTGTTTTGCATTAATTAAGGTCTGCACTGGCAGACCTTCCACCTTGCTACACCAGTCTTTCTTTTCTTCTCTCGTTAGTTTATGCTCCTGCAATCCTAAGCGTCTCTTTATTAGCTTTAACTCAGGGCATGGCTAACTGCTGCGCAAAATGGCGGCTTAAATCTTCGCTCCAGCATATAGGTTCCATGAAATAGATTAATTGAGAAGCTGAATCTCTATTTCACACCCCCATACCTAATCATGTGTCACAGCAAGCATAGGAAGACTGCGTCTAAAGATGCCAAGCTAAAGTTTTTTGGTTTTTTTAGCTAAAAACTTGGCCTAGCATCACAAGCCTTGCAGGCCGCTTCACAAGATGGCGGAGGCTCGTTGGATGATAAGAGCCCACTCTTTGACCTGGGGCAAGTCAAGTCTGGCGAAAACATTACCAAGCAATGTCTCCACAAAGTCCTAGACACCTTATCCACCAAACGAATACACTCCTGGATGGCCAGTGTGGACACGCTGCGCAAGAACCTTCTGGACCTGGTTGTGAGAACAATACATACAGAAACCAAAATGGCTAAATACGCAACGGCTCACAACGATCTAGCTGACCATGTGCAGCAACACATAGAATCTCTGGAATCAAAGGTGATTTGATGCGGAGGATAGATCCGGGCGGAACAACCTTAGATTAAGGGGAGTTCCAGAAAGAATTCCCTCGATATGTCCACAGCCTACTGAATGATATTGCTCCTGACGTGCCAGCCGATATGCTGCTTCTGGACCGGGTCCCACGCCCCAAGCACTTGGCGGAATCCACGTCTAGAGATGTCCTGCTGCGTGCTCACTATTTTCATGTTAAAGAAATCATCTTAAAGAGCATAACTCTTAAAAACCTACACAACTATGCTCACGCTGGAGACAACACCTGAAGACATGCTCATGGTGCACATTACCACTCTCCCTAAGCCGGGGAAGATCCCAAACAAAGGGTAAAATCTAGGCCCATTTGCCACATTAAACACCGACATAAAAATATATGCAAGCAGGCTGTCTACAATACGCCCTATGATCATTCATGATGACAATGTCGGTTTTGTGAGGGGAAGACAGGGGAGTGATGGCACATGAAAGGTACTTGACCTGCCTGATGCAGACGCTGGGAGTGTGGGGGGCACAGTGTATTCCTCTCCCTAGATGCAGCAAAAGCATTTGATAGACTGCACTGGCCGTTCCTCCTCACAGTGCTGCAAAAATATGGTTTCCCGGGAGAATTTATCAGTGGTACAGGCCTTATATAGCAATCCAGTGTCGTGAGAGTTTTTTTTTTTTTCTCTGCCCCATTTCAAATGGCTCTAGCCAGGGCTGCCCCCTTTCACCCTTATTGTACATATTAGCGTTGGAACCACTCACGACACTTATCAGAAACAACCCTCACATCCATGACATACAAGTAAAAGATACTGAATACAAGCTTACGTTGTTTGCAGATGACGTCCTCCTTACTCTAAGCGACCCCACATCTCTATGCCATCATTTATCGAAATACTACAAGAATACAGCAGGTGTTCTTATTACAAACTTAGTGTAACTAAAACACAAGCTATGGGAATTAATATGCCAAAAAAATACCACAAAGCCTAAAATCTCAACATAAATTCGATTATCAGACAACCTAACATTTTTAGGGGTTGCCTTCACTCCCAACGCCCCCTGTATTTATAAAGCGAACTATATACGGTTATTGAAGGAGGTCAAAATGACACTAGATAACTGGCGAGGGAAATATCTCTCATGGACTGGCCGTCTGGTGTCCATAAAAATGTTTGTGGTTCCCAAATTTCAATATCTGTTCCGCACATTACCCATTCGCCTTCCTAACTCATATTTTAAAGACGCACAACGACTGCTCAACCAATTCATCTTGGCATACAAGATACCTAGAGTAACGTCAACCACATTATATAAACAAAACTGCAGGAGGGATGAACGCACCAAATTTACATACCTATTACCAAGCAACCATCATCAATAGCATAGTACCAGCCCAAACTCACAACACACCATCCCTAAGGGTGACATTAGAAAATGGGGTGATGCAAACACACACAGTACTATCCATGATATGGCTACCCAAACATATTAGGCCCAAACAGGTGACAATGCTACCTACTACGGAGACAACCATTTTTGTGTGGGATAGGAATAGACATAAATTCTGTTTAGAAAGCCCATACTCCAGGGCTATGTCCATCTCAACCTTACGCTCAGCAATACCAGATTTTAGCCACAAACTTTGGGAACGCCAAGGTTTACAGTTTATTCACCGGCTTTTCCAAGATGACCAAACGTTACTATTCTCAGATATACAACACAGATATGGTCTCTCATCGGTGGCGCAATTCACGCACCTACAAATACACTCATGGTTAAAATAACAACCTACTTGGAATGATGGAAATGTACATGAACACCGGCTGACGAGCTTTGAGAGAACAATGCTTAAAATTACGACAGCAAACAAAACATTCTCAACATTATATGCTAGCATACTGAAACACGACTTAACTCTAAGACACCCCTTTGTCATAGCATGGGAGAAAGACCTTGGTCTGACATTCACGTAAAAAACGTGGCGGGAGATATTTATTACTCCTAAACGACTTACACTTAGTGCAAATCACACCGAGCTGTCACAACATTTTTTGTATCATTGGTACTTGCTGCCAACATGCCTCAAACAAATATACCCTGAGGTATCAGACTGTTACTGGAAGTGCACATCAGGAACGGGCTCCATGCTACATATCTGGTGGGAATCCCAATATTGATACCATACTGGAAAGCAGTAGCCACTTTAATTCATGGTAGCACAGGAATCACCTTACCTATGACACCTGATTGTCTGCTGCTCCATAATTACCCACCCAAATTACCCAAAGTGACAAAATATCTCCTATACCAAATTAACATCACAGCGCTGGATATGATAGGTAAAACCTGGGAAAAAAACTGATGCACCGACTATAACACAGTGTGTCCAATTGATTGACACAACCCAATACTATGAATCCTAGTACAGGGCGGCTATCATTATCAAAGCTACATTTTGGAGTTCGGCCTGGCACATTTGGAATGTTTTTAGTGAACATGACACCCTAGGTCAGTCAATTGAACACAACTCGAAGTCTGGACAGCCAAGTTCATAATAACTCAACTTTCCTTAACTCAAGCTTCCAACGACTTATCATAAAATGCTATCCGCAGTTGCTATCGGAAAGCCAAGGCATGCAACTTTGACCTAACACGTCACAGACAATGTTGTATCAAGCTCTCTCTCTCTCTTTCTCTCTGCCCCATCTACCTTGTCCCCATCCCATCCCACGTCCTGCATCCCTGTTCATTAAAATTGTTCATATTGCTGCATACAATTGTTTTATGTATAACAGTACATTAACCAGCTATCATCTATCTTCTGTATAATTTGCATGGCTCGTAATACAAAATGCATATAAATGTTTTTGTTTTTTTAATTGCTTTAACTCTTTTCTTTGCCCTCCTGTGGCCGCATGTTACTTTACGGAGAAGATATAACAGTTAAGGAATTAATTATCCCCCCCTGAACTCCTCTCTATCTCATCCTCACTTTGACCGTACCAACCCTACCCTCCAAGCCATTTCTCCAGCTACTGAACAAGAGGTGGCTGCGCTTCACCTTTCCTCTCGTCCCACCACATCCCACCTCACCTCATCAGATCTCTTGCCCATTGTCTTGTGCCGTCCTTAACGCACATCATCAACTACTCTCTCCCCTCTGGTGTTGTCCCTGCTCCTCTTAAGCATGCTACTGTTGTACCCGTCCTAAAAAAGACATCTTGACCCAGCTTCCCCTTCCAACTATCGCCCCAAATCCCTGCTCTCTTTTTCCTCAAAGCTTCAGGAAAGACTTGTCTTTACCGTCTGACTTGCTTCCTCAATTCTGACTCTCTCCTTGACCCTCTCTTCTAGATTTTGCCTCCTGCACTCCACAGAGACTGCTCTTATTAAAGTTACTAATGACCTAAATCCAAAGCCTACTACTCCATACTAATTCTTCTCGATATCTCTGCTGCCTTTGACACTTTGGCTTCCTTCTCTAAACTCTTCAGTCTCTTGGTCTCTGTGACACAGCCCTCTCATGGTTCTCCTCCTATCTCTCCCAACGTTCATTTAATGTCTCCTTTTTCAATGACTCCTCCTCCCCTCATCCTGTCTCAGTCGGAGTCCTTCAAGGTTCAGTTCTTGGTCCTCTTTTGTTTTCTTTCTATACTGCCTCTCTTGGCAAACTCATTAATTTGTTTGGATTCCACTACCACCTGTACGCTGATGACACCCATATATATCTCTCCTCTCCTGACCTCTCCCCTGCTGTCCTACAATGTTTCACCAACTGCCTTTCTTCCATCTTTGACTGAATTTCCTTCCGCTTTCTGAAACACATTCTCTCTAAAACTGAGCTCCTTGTCTCACCTCTTCCTAATACTGATCCTCCTTTTTCACTCTCCTTTCAAGTTAGTGGTACACACATTAGCCCATCCTTGCAAGCTCGCGGTCTTGGCGTTATACTTGATTCTGGCTCATTAAAACCAGTTGTACTCCCAGAACTATGTGTCGTCTAGTTACTGAGAGGGGAAAGGGCTAATCACTGCTCAGCACCTTGTAACAGCTTGTGGAGGATGAAGCAGGGAAAGTTATTGTAAGGACTATAGCTCACAGGACTGTGTATTGTCCAGTCCCTGGGAGGACCACAGTCAAGCCACAGTAACTCCAACAGAAGCATTGAGGTTTTACCCGATTCCAGCTAGGAAGTGGTCCTTGGCGGAGGTACCCAGCCGGTGTACAGGGATCTCCGCTACAGATCTGCAGAGATGAATGGCAGAAACTTCCCAAATCCAGCTGTGCAAAGCTTATTGCATCATGCCCAAAAGACCTGAGGTTCTGATCACTGCCAAAAGTGCTCCAAATAAGTAACCCTTTCTGTACTCCCCAGATTCCAGCACCAATGTCATCCGAAGGGTGACGAAAGCGCAAGCGCATTAGGCCCTACTCATAGCAAAGAATTGCTGCAATGCTTTCGTCTGGGGATTTTACAGACGCTGGATGTCATCATGCAGAGCGTGAGGACGTCCATGATCATGCAATTAAAAGTCTCCTAGCCAGCAGGAATTGGCTCTTGTGGCTGACTGACAGTCACTAGAGGCAGTCTTAGTCCTGAAATTTAATCACTGCAGTTTCTCTAACACTGCAATTAATTACACTGCAGGACTAAAGGGGAGAGGGACATTGCACCCAGGCCACTTCAATGAGAGGAAGTGGATGTGGCTGTTTTTAGTGTCCCTTTAAAAAGTCTAATATTTCAGTTGTTTCAGTTTATTATATTTTTTGCAATGGTTTCAAAAATATGTTTTTTGCTCTATCATTATAGGGTATTAAGTTAGGTTAATATGAAAAAAAAAATATGACTTTCAATAATTGTAGCAGAAAGCTTTCAACATAAAGTGAGCTGTATACTTTTTGAATGCACTGTTTATGGAGCATGAGCTAACCAGGGGAGCTCTGATGTGGTGTAAAAACTGCTTAAAGTTTTGCTAAACAATGGGGTTTTGAAGTAACTGTTC